TGGAGGATGTCTTGCTCTCCGACATGGACGACTCAGGAAACGCAGAGTTGGAACCGTCGTTGTGTCCCTGGTGCAAGAAGGCCGTTGATCCAGATGCTCTGAGGAAGTTTCGGGCGCAACCGAAACAGCGGATTCGCGAGCAACAGCGATTCTGCGAGTTGCATCAAAAGGAGACGGCGGAGAAAGAATGGAAAGAGAGAGGTTATCCAGACATTGATTGGGATACTTTCGATGAGCGCATCAGTGGTCATTTCGACGATCTGGACAAGATCTTAGTACCGGAAAGCACTTCGTACTACAGAAATGTTCTGGATACTATGTTGAAATCAGGAAAGGCAAAGAACTTCCGCCTGACGTTCGCTGGAGACGCCCTTGAGACGATCTGTTGCGGTTATTACGGGACTCGAGGGGCCAACAAAATGTACAGTCTCCTAGTTACCTCCTCCTCTTCAAATGTTGTCGTGTTATTAACCAAGTCTCTTGACAGGCTACAAGCTCTTACCGCGCGATTCTCCCGCAAACTCCGTCGTTTGGCAGCTGAGGACCACATTGTCAAGAAGGCTGGACCTGTCATCTATGCTCAGGCAGTCCTTGTACCTGAACTGGCCGTCAGGCTAGTCAAAGAAGATATGGGAGTGGATGTTGACTCGGCACGACAAATCCTGCGGGAGAGCATTGAAATTGGCGAGAAGCTGAACTTCGCCCCAAATGACGTGGTTCCGATCCCAGTTGAACCAGAGAATGCCTAACGACATATCGATCTTCTCATTCATTTCGCATACAAATGAGCGACTGTATATAAAAAGATTTTTCGGCTTGATATCATTGTGCTTGCTTGTTGTTTGTGATGAATGGTATATTAAAGGGTATCAGTGTACGAGAGGGCGGCTCATGTTGAGATGTATTGTTAGCGTGAATCTCAGCTGGAATGAGCATACAGATAGGCCCTTTTGTGGGTTTGACGATGTTACATGAGCCAAAGAAATGGTGTTACTTCGGCGCCTCCATGTAGAATTCACCAAGATCATTGTTGTTATTTATCCTTGTTTAGGAAGGTCGATAAGCTTTCCAAATCCACTGATAGAGCAATTCAGACCCACAATTACGGAATTCTGGCGCTTTGTGGATACAGCTCGAGCGGAGGGCACCCACTCATCATAAGTTGATAACATCAGCAGCAGAAAGCATCTCCTCACTTCCCCGTCATCAGGCCTCTAGCGAACTGCCATGGCATCTTCTTAACCTAATGGTACTGTATGTCGACACTTTCTGATTCCTACAGCTGCTGTACATGAACATTTGAGCTCTCAATCACGAGATGAGGGAGAAAACCATGGCTCCCTCAGAAACTACTCCGCTCCTTCCTGTTGTCAACGTCGCTCCCCAGCGATATCGATACCCCCATCATACCTTGCGGCGGGTATGCAGCTTCTCCTTGAGCCTGCTCCTTTTCGTTGGTTTGGTCCTGTTCTTAATTCCGTTTGCTATCCTGCCCCGCGAGCATGGCTCTCTCTGGTCATATCTCCCCGGCGCAAATCCGTTCCCGTACACGTCATGGCCCAACGGTCACGGCCTCACCTATGAGCAGCTGCAGGCTGTTCTTCAGAGCACCCCGTCAGCCGCCAAGGCCCGTGAATGGAGCAGTTATTACACGGCAGGTCCTCACCTAGCAGGCAAAAACCTCAGCCAGGCCCTCTGGACCCGCGAGAAGTGGCAGGAGTTCGGCGTGGAGGATACCGAAATCGTCGCTTATGATATCTACCTCAACTACCCTGTAGATCATCGTCTCGCTCTGCTGAAGAAGAACGGTGATAAAACCGACGTCACTTTCGAAGCTTCTCTGGAAGAGGACGTTCTTGAAGAGGATCACACGAGCGGCCTTCCCGATCGCGTGCCTACTTTCCACGGCTACTCTGCCACCGGGAACGTCACCGCTCCTTTTGTCTATGCCAATTTCGGGACATATCATGATTACCAGGACCTTGTTGATGCCAATGTCAGCTTGGCTGGCAAAATTGCTATTGCAAAGTATGGTCGTGTCTTTCGTGGGTTGAAGGTGAAGCGGGCACAGGAGCTGGGTATGGTCGGTGTGATATTGTACGATGATCCCCAGGAAGATGGAGATATTACGGAGGACAATGGCTACAAACCTTACCCCGAGGGACCCGCTCGGAACCCCAGCGCGGTGCAGAGAGGAAGTACGCAATTTTTGAGTATGTTCTTCTTCTCCTTTGGTCCTCAAGCCTTAACAGATACTGACCATTCTGTGGTTAGGCATCGCTCCCGGTGATCCCACGACTCCCGGTTATCCGTCCAAGCCCGGCTACGAAAGACAAGATCCCCATAACTCGATTCCGTCTATTCCCTCCCTTCCTGTCTCCTATGAGGAAGTGCTTCCTTTCCTAAAAGCGCTCAATGGACATGGCCCCAAGGCATCCGATTTCAACAAATGGTGGCAAGGTGGGAAACTGGGATCGAAGGGTGTGGAATACAACATCGGGCCTTCTCCAGATGAGGTCGTCATCAACCTGTACAATGAGCAGGAATATATCACGACTCCGCTATGGAATGTCATTGGTACCATCAAGGGGGCCATTGAGGATGAAGTTGTGATCCTGGGCAATCATCGTGACGCCTGGATTGCTGGTGGAGCTGGGGATCCGAACAGTGGATCCGCTGTGCTCAACGAAGTCATTCGCAGTTTCGGTGAGGCTCTCAAGGCAGGATGGAAGCCACTGCGCACCATTGTCTTTGCTAGCTGGGATGGCGAAGAGTATGGATTGCTTGGGTCTACTGAGTGGGTTGAGGATATGCTTCCATGGTTGTCGAAGACTACGGTTGCTTACCTTAATGTTGATGTCGCCGCGGCCGGGACCGATTTGCACCCCACGGCGAGTCCACTTCTCAACAATGTTATCTACGAGGTGACCGGATTGGTCCAATCTCCCAACCAGACAGTGGAAGGCCAGACAGTGCGGGATACCTGGGATGGCCGAATTGGTACCATGGGAAGTGGTAGCGACTTTACTGCGTTCCAGGACTTCGCAGGCGTCCCCAGTTACGATCTGGGTTTCAGCCGTAGTCCCAAGGACCCTGTGTATCATTATCACTCGAACTACGATAGTTTCGACTGGATGGATCGGTTTGGTGATCCTGGTTGGCTGTACCACGAAGCATGCACTAAGATTTGGGCTCTGGCTGCGGCTAAACTGGTGGAGACTCCTGTGCTCGCCTTTAACGCTACGGACTATGCTATGGGCCTCAGCACCTACTTGGATAAGATTCGACCTGCGGCGGAACGACTGCCTGGTCGTTCATCGTTCGACTTTGGGCCATTGGACAAAGCAATTGCGCGGCTTCAGAAAGTCGCTGCGAAATTTGACGCCCAAGCCGCAGAGCTGACCTCACAGTTGGACGAGAATATTCCGTGGTGGCTCTGGTGGAAGAAGGTGAGACTGTACTTCTTGATCCGCGGGGTCAATGACAAGTATAAGAGCATTGAGCGCAAGTTCCTGTACCAACCTGGCCTGGACGGGAGAAACTGGTACAAGCACGTGGTGTTTGCCCCTGGCATCTGGACTGGATACGCTGGCGCGACATATCCTGGGCTGGTGGAAAGTCTGGAGGCAGGAGATTTGGAAAATGCAGAGGTTAGTCATCTCGCTTTTTGCACGATCTTGTGGTTCGATTTTGCTAACGCTATGATGTACAGAAATGGCGCGTTATTATCCGTGAGCGGATCGACGATGCCACGAACCTGCTGCAATAAGTTTTGGCATTCCGGTTGCTATACTCTGTAGAGAGATTTTGACACTTTTCTCTTTTTTCATATTTACAGGCAGGTTGAGTGATTTGAAAAGTTGTGCACAAGTTCTGTGCCTGCTCAACTCGAGTTCCGCTGGGGCTCGAAGCCTTGGACAAAGCGATCAGCCAATGATTTATATATGTGGTACGAAGTATACGAATTGGTTTTATCTATAACATGCGTGGCCATGTCTGATCCCGACAACGGTCTTGAATACTCTGTAATGCATGTCTATGTTATTTCTTTATCCAAAGTCCATGTATATGCGACATCAGCACAGACCGGAAAAGATTCCGCATGTAACGCTGACCTCGGAAAACAGCACCAATCATGAAATTGTCGCTGATCGACAGCAGGATAATTGAGTCATGATCAAAGTGCAACTGACCTGGTGCATGCATTTAAGCGTGTAGTGACTCAAGCGTTCAGAGTCTACTCCATTTACTGTGGGGATTCAATGCATCTACAGTATCAATGGTTCAGCGGGCTAGGCCGACCAGCAGTCTATACTTCGAAAGAAACTGTGCATCTCATTCGATTCTGATTTTGTTGGATCCGCAGTTCCCCACTCGCGATGCTGACAAACAGCAAGAAGTGAAGCCTTCGACAATAATCGAGCCAAATAACTCAAAGCAGTGCAAATGGGCAATAGTGCACAGACTCAACTGTTATTTTCCTCCTCCTCCAATTCTGTTTTTCTAATTCTCTTCCCTCTTGTGCTTGACTGGTTCAGTCTTCAATTGTTGATATACCTCGGGTTACTTCTTTTCCATGACTTGGACGCAAGGCTCGCTTTCCCTCGGTTATTTGCCTCTTATCATCTGTACAATAGCCGATTGTTCAGCTTACCAGGTTGTTGATCGGGATACTATCACAGCTTCCAGATGCACGAGAAATCTCCCAGATTGCCGGTGCGGCAGCTGCTGATTCTATGTAAGTAGTGTCAAACTAGAGATATGTATGCTATCTGTAAACTGACTTCTTGAACCAGCAATATGTAGATTTGCCGAGCCAGGTACGTTCAAGCTCACTCACGAGTGCAACATTGGGATACAAATCTCTCAATTAATAGATCGATTTCGGACTTAGACCTATACTGAACTCTTTCCTCTTGCTAAACAGTTGTTTTCACTTCCGCCTTACCATATCTTGTATGCAACCTGCCCGCATGAGTCAAGATGTTTGAGTCGCCGCAATGCAACTAACCACCGTTCACCTCCAGCCCGAAATGATTGAGGACATCGGTGTCCCCAAAAACGAAGTCGCGAAATGGGTCGGAATCACCTCGGCTGTGGCAGCCGGTTGCCAGGCCGCCATGGCCGTCACCTGGGGAACTGCCTCGGACACCGTCGGTCGCAAGCCCATCATCCTGTGCGGCTTGACCTTCACCATGATTTTCTCGCTGATGTTCGGCATGTCGAAGACCCTGGCGATGCTGGTCGTTTCCCGTGCGCTGCTGGGCCTCATGAATGGGAACGTCGGGATCATTCGGACCATGGTGGCGGAGATGGTCCCGGAGAAGGAGTTGCAGCCGCGTGCATTCAGCGTTATGCCGCTGGTTTGGACGATTGGGAGTATCTTTGGGCCGGCCTTTGGCGGTGCGCTGGCGCGTCCGGTGGAGAAGCATCCGGCGATCTTTGGAAGTTGGGGGTTTTTCAAGGAGTATCCGTTTCTGTTGCCCAATCTGGCGTCGGCTTTTCTGTTTGTTATCGGGATTACGACGGGGTGGCTCTTTTTGCATGTAAGTGCGAATCAAGATATAGGAGACTGGCAAGTGTACTTGCTAATGGCGGACAGGAAACACTGGCAGCCAAGAAGCATCACCGCGATATAGGGTTGCGGCTAGGTCAGATGTTGACAGGCTGCTGCAGCTCTCCCAGAAAGAAGATATCCTACATCGAGCCGCAGGAGGATGACGAAACCACTGCGCTGCTGGGACAGCACCGGTCCACAAAGGGCGCCGACCAGAAGCGCACGGCTGCCAAACGACCGAGCTGGAAAGAGGTCTTTTCTCCGCAGTCCACACTGGTTCTTCTCGCCTATGCCATGATGGCGATGCATAACATGGCGTTCGACTCCCTGCTTCCAGTTTTTCTGCACACGCCGATTCAGAGACTGGACGGGAATCCGGAGGTGCGGTTGCCGTTCAAATTTGTCGGCGGGTTCGGCGTCGGTACGTATCTCTCTCTTTCTCAAGGCCTCTGCCTTAACACCTTCTGCATAGACTCCCAAACGATCGGCATATACTACACCTTGATCGGCATTATCGGCATGTTCGTTCAGTTCTTCATCTTCCCGGTGGCAGCCAAGCGATGCGGTGTCCTCAACTGCATCAAAGTCATTGCCATCGTCTTCCCTATCGTTTACCTCGTGACACCCTTCACCGCACTCGTACCAGCATCGATCCGGAGTTTTGTTGTGTTCATGCTCATGCTCAGCAAGCTGACATGCACCATCTTCAGCTTCCCGTGCTGCACCATCCTCCTGACTAACTCTGCGGCCAGCCTCAGTGTGCTGGGGACCCTGAATGGGGTCGGCACAAGTGTCAGTGCGGTTGGAAGAGCGGCGGGGCCTGCACTTGTCGGTGCGGCGTTTACCTATGGAGTTAACCACGGCTACGTCATCATCCCTTGGTGGCTTCTGGCTTTCTTTGGTGCCTTGAGTGCAGTGCCTGTCTTTTGGGTAGAGGAGACGGATAGCTTTCAAGGCAGCCAAGAGTCGGGATCGGAAGATGAGGAGCGTTGAAGCTGTTGTCCTCTAATTCCCTAAACCTGCAAAACAGACGGAGTCGATGCGCCCTCATCATCTTCGACTCCAGCCCTTATCAAGGGCACAAACGACTCAAACTGAATGATGAACGATAATGACCCTACCACCGAATTCGCTGCAAGCGCTGCATTAGACTAACGTTCAAATCCATCCCACCATTCATCAGGGATTCTTTTTCGGTTATGATATCCCATTTCGTGGCTTTTTCATGATTTACGATTCTAAAATCAATTATGGGCGACGATTGCATGCATATATATGATTCATGAATCTATCAGAACAGGAATAGAAAATATGACTGTTTACACTGCCTGCAAGGGTGGCCTGACCCTGGCCTGAGAGCTCGACCGCATTAGTAATACGCCCCTCGGAAGACCGTCGTACTCCATTCTCCACCAATGACACCATCAGTTCAGATCTCTGTCTACGGTACCTAAGCTCTTCAGTCCATCTATCAACGTATCCGCCTCAAGCGTCGACTATCTATCATCGAAAAAACTTAGCCTACTACTTACATCCTGCACTCGAATCAATTCATCCCAACCCCAATCGTCAACATGGTACGCACACCCTATTGTCAACAACCCTAAGCAGCAGCTGATATGAAACAGTCCCAATCCTCCCTTTCCAGCCCCCCGAACTCCGCCGCCGCGCTGGCCCTCCTCACCTCCCTGGGCGGAATCATCGGCTACGCGCGTACGGGCTCCATCCCCTCCATCGCGGCGGGTCTTTCAGTCGGTGCTCTGTACCTGTACAGTTTCCTGCGTCTGCGCGACGGACAGCCCTACGGCGAGGAGATCGGGTTGCTGGCCTCGGCGGTGTTGGGGGGGAGTTCCGTGCCCCGGGTTATCAAAACGAGGGGGAAGCCCGTGCCTCTTGCGTTGAGTGTGCTGGCGACGTATGGGCTTGTGGTTTTTGGGCTGGCGTTTCGGGAGAAAAGGGCTTCGAGGGTTTGAGTTTTGAGAGTTTGGGCTGGACAGTGTATGCTACGGGACTCTTACTTTACGAATGGCTGAGCGAAACAATTGATTTAAAAAGGAGTATCCATTAATAATAAGTGTCATTTTAGAGCTCAAAGCATCGTCGATTCGTTGCCTACCTTTATGCTAGAGAACTTACAGCAGCATTCGCTTGACAGAGCGCGGGTAACGACCCTTGACAACCCAGCGGTCTTCCGTCTCCAAATCATCTCACGAGGCAAGAACACGAAACTGATCAAGTTCGGACGAACAACTTCCCATGGTAGCCAGTGATATCAGCCTTGCTCGGTGAAGGTTGACAACCAAACTCACCAGCACTCTATCAATGCTCTCCAGTCGTTCATTGTATCTCACTGCGGTTTCCTCAGAAGGTCCACCCGCATCATGACAGCGAAGAGGATGGATGAATATTGTAGCAGCCCCTGTTCAGTTTCAAGCATAGTTTCTTCTTTCGTGCACTCGAGGTTGCCACGGTACTGACATATTAGGGTAGAAAGAAACAACAAGAGGATGAGACAGATAAGATGAAGCTAGAACTTGATATGCATCGAACTTAGCTGGAATCTGTGGTTCGTACCTCTGTCCAGACATCTGACCGGAAATCTTGAACGGATTTTGACGAAAATGTGTGTATGGATCTCCGAAAGGATAGGGTCGTTTCGCAAATGGTCGGTCGACTCACAGTCGCCGCACCGGTCATCAAGCTTTTCACTGCGCAGAGTCGAAAATCTTGTCTGACTCCCGAATAGTCCCCACTACTACAGCAGCAGGGAGCTCTTCAAGGGTCGTTTCTCCTCGACGGTCAGGAACAAATGCGTACCTTGACAATCTAGCCATCTTTTCCTCCGGACTGGTCTCATTATCAGAGTATACCAAGCGTGTCGGTTTGGACTTGTCCTTCTTCGACGGCTTCTCTTCAGTGGTCGTACCAGCTGCAGCTTTGGCCGCGGCCTGGTCAGCTTCCTTCGCTGCCCCAGAGACAAGATCATTGACCGAAGATGATATCGACGCCGCTTCTGCTCCTGGCGCTCTTCCACCATCTAGGACAGCAGGATGCACTCCAGCGTTCGGAAGGGGGTGGCCCATGTGCATTTGTTGCATCTGGTATGCATTAACTGGCGGGGGATGAAAAGCGGGGCGCTGGGGAAGGCTAGGCGCTGCCGGTAGGCTACCAGGACGTTGCGGGAATGCCGGGGTAGTTTGAGGAGTTGCGTGTGACGGGGATGCTTGTTGGTGCGGTTGTGTCGGGAAAGGAGGTGGCGTTGTTCCATAGGGTGGGGTAGGTTGCGCAGCAGTACCAACTGGATATGGCTGTGGAGTATATCCAGTAGGTGTATGCTGCATAGGGTACTGTGCTTGTGCGCCTGGTGAAAAAGTTGGATACACGGGGCTCGCCGCCTGTGGGAATGGAGAGCCGGTCCCTGCATACGGTGGAGGATATGTAAATTGTGGGGTCGGGGCGGCTGCAGTCTGAGGAGATTGAGCCTACAAAAACACAACAAATTAGCATTATAATGTTGCATTGAATCAGGACAAGACAACTTACAAATCCACCCTGACCCTGTGTCTGCCCGGCACCCACAGGAGTCGCCTCTCCGCTGCTTCCTCCAGCGGCAGCCTCCGCTCGTTTAGCTTTGTGCTCAGCTAAACGCTTCTTTAAGTCAGACACGTTTTCAAGCTTGGGTTTCTTCGCCGGTTGGCCGCCAGACGCTGTTCCTGGAGGTGGGTTGCCCGTCACGGCCTGCCGCTCCGCCTCTGCTTGCTGAAATTGAGCGATCACGCGCTGGTTGTGAGATTGGACGACATCATCGGGAACACCTTCCATGCCGAAGATTTCGACATCGAGACTCGAGCGATTGGGAAGCGCATTTTCGACGGCTGAAAGCTGCTCCTTGTGCACTTGGCTCATATGCACTGACAAGCCTGATTGCATCCGGTGAGCGAAAAGTATCATCAGAGGGCTATATGTGCTGTATTGACTCACCTCCTGCGGTGTTGAGTCTCCGCCCACACCTGTCGCATTTGAAATGCTTCGCCTTTTGATGTGATATAAGGATTTTGAGATCGTCGAAATCACGCTCGCAGTAATAACACCACGGCCGAGCCAGAAGCTCTTCAAGTGTTGGGCCACGTCTTTTTTTACCCATTGTGACAGTGATATGTCAAAGACTCAAGCTTCAACGAACCTGGAGTCGAACTTTTCTGGAATGGTAGTGGTGAAGTGAAAGTGTGGAGGAAGCGTCTATGCGGTGATTTAGGCTGAGATCTCACTGATCCGAAGTTGGAATCATTAGTCACGTGACGCAGCTTGTCTACAATAAGTATCACGTGATTTTGGAATGAAGCGAGATGGAGAGAAATGATTCATGTATAGGACTAGATAAAGAAAGTGAAAGAAAGTGACAGAAGTTCCAGTTAGTAACTGTCCTAATATGGGGCTTATTACCACCGCTTCATACTAATCTCATTTACAGTGTTCTGTATGTAGTGACTTTAACCACGAGCATCTGGAACAACAAAGTTCAGAAGGTGGAGATCAAGCAGAAAGATATGCAAAACAATCCCTTTTGCCCCCATCAGAGTCGAACTCAAAATGCGGATCATTCCCAAGACAATATTCGTACAGAGCCTCTCGACCAGCGCGGCCAGTATTACAAGAATCAGCGGATCAACAGAATGTACATGGTTCAACCAAATTCCTGGCACCTTCGCTCAAATATGACCAGACGAACATTCAATGTGTTTTCGAGAAAAAAAAGGTGGTCAATAACAGGTGGAGTGCACTGACCTGAGGTCTGCCATAAGAGTCGTAGATAATACAGAGAAAAAAAGCGCCGAACGGCAGATGGAGATGCTTTGTATGCTGAAGGAAGCTTTTTGTACGGAGGCATAGACAGCACCAAACCCCTTCGGCCCAATCACCCACTGTCTCTTTCCTATTTGCAGGATTTACCCAGAAGGATCGAGGGTAAGTCCATCATACAGTGACGAGGAAGAGGTGAATTGGCTATCCGGCGCGCGAGACAAAAGCACGAAACAAAAGAGGAAGGAACCGACAAATGTATGCTTTCTCATGCGGGTCGCGTGGGCCCTGGTGGTGGCATTCCAGCCGTCGCCGCCCCGTATGGGCTGTAGTAACCTGGGTACGGGGTGCGGTAAGGCACCGGCGCAGGAGGCTGCTGAAATGGTCCTGGAGGACCTGGGGGAAACGATGCGACGGCTCGAGGGTCTATGGGCGCATATGGAGAAGCCATCGACCGGAGCATAGGCATAGGCGCTAGTCCGGGGGGACCAGCGGGCAGAGGGAGCGACACGGGCTGCACAGCTGATGGTGCCGGGGCAATAGGCCCGTCGACTTGCGAGCTCACAGGGCCTGGAGTGCGGGACTTGGGTTTCTTGATCACGGGTTTCTGTGCCTCCGCCGCCTTCCTAGCGGCCTCTGCCGCGCGATCAGCCGCAACTTGGGACTTGGATCGCTTGGGTTTGCGGATTCGGCCCTCCCGGTTGAACCGGGCCCAGTGGTTGAGCATGGCCTCCGTGCGCCGGGGGTTCTTGGCATTAGCAATCTTTTCTCGTCGAGCCAGCTCAGCTGGGTCCAGGGACTCATTGGCTTGCGCGCTTCCCGCTGGAGTGATTGCAGGAGAGACAGCCGCTTGGGCCCCACTAAGCGCCGGCTCGATTTGCGCCAGTTGAGACAATGTTCCAGAGGGGTCGGACGGAGGCCGGGCCTGCAACGGTAAAGGGTGTGGCACTGAGGCTACTACTTTGGTCTCGCGGCCGCGACCTCGTGCTAAAGCCGCGTTCACCGTTGGCTGTGGCGTTTCCGAAACGGCCCGAGAAGGAGCGCGGGCGGCACCTCGTCCGCGGCCTCGGCCTCGTCCGCGACCGGCGCCCCGGGTAGCAGCAGCTATAGGAGCGGGAGAAGCGGGAGCTGAGGGAACGGGTGTATTGTCTTGTGTTTGCTCCACCTCGAGCGCCGTACGGCGTTGGCGAGTTCGCCGCTTCGCTGGCGGCATAGTGTCTCCTTGATCCTCGGCAGGCACAGGCGTTCCGAAGAAAGCGTCGTCCGTTTCGATTTCTTGGCTGGCTGCTTCCAATTCTGCTGCTCTACGCCGGCGCGTGTTCTTTGCGACGGTTGATTGGGCCGGAGGTTTCGGTAGCATTGGCACGTACGGGATGCCAAATTTGTGGATTATCGGCCATCCATCAGGGTTGGGGTCGCCCTTAGCTCTGATTTTAAGGGTCTGGGCGGCCGTCGGCATGAAGCCACCCTGCTCGAAGGGATCCTGGATGCCGCCCAGAGCTTTGGGATCATACTTATAGCCGTACAGCATTGCTTCTCTTTGACTCTCGAACACACTGGGGTTCTCTAACTTCCTCGGGTCCGCACTGGGCTTCCCTTGCTGTCGAGTTGCAAGCCTATAGAGCTTGTCAATGGCGAGATATTCCTCTTGCCATGTCTTCAAAGTGAGATGCACATTCTCAGTGATCGCATAGAGCTCATCGACAGAGCGATACTCTGGATCACGGAGCTGGGATAGGATGTTCTCCAGAGGTGTAATTTCGAGAAATTCTCCTTTGGCAACTTTTGTCTTCTTGTAAGGATTAGGGCGCTCTGGGAAGTCAGATGCGTCGTGCTTCGTGCCACGCTTGGGGTTACGAAATACTGTATCCCAGGCGTATTCGACGTCGTCAATTCTGTCCTCGAAGTCCTTCGAGAACTTGGAGACGTCGTTAATATTCCAAAGGTTATGAACACGCTGCTCAATAATCGAAGTCTGTCCACGAGAGAAGCCATCGAGTCGAATGGGAGAAGGAAGACCAGATATCGCTCCGTCGACCTCGCCCTCAGCGGCAGCGTCATATGTTCTTATCCCGTCAGCCTCTTCAGCTTCACCAGCTTCACCAGCTTCACCAGCTTCACCAGCTTCAACATCGTCAACTCCAGATGCCGCAGCATCTTCAGTGAGCTCGTGATCGTTGTGAAATTGCCCGTTCGGGGTATGTCCATTTGCGGCACTAAGAGAGTATCTCTTGGCACTGTGCGGGTGTGCCGTAGCAATGTGGTCTTTGAGAGTAGAAGAATCATCACTTGATGACCTAGAGGTATTGAAATATTCCCCACACAGGTAGCATTTGGACTTATGAGTCAAAGAAGAAGGCGATTGGGATGTTTGGGTGGAAGTCGAATGAGCAGAGAGTGGCTCGGAGAATTGTCGGCGAAGAGAGGAGGCCTGGCTGGCCATGTCCGAAGTATGGTTATTCATCTCAATATCGCTCTGGGCGACAGGAGCCATAACTGCTCGGCGAAGAATACTCCAGAAGGATGAACAAATCTGAAGTAGATAGGTATAAAAATTTGATGATGATCGAGGAACGGAGAATTGAATTCTCTTCCCCAAATTTGGTATCTAAACATTCAGTGTCAGTCCATTGCACTCCGAAAAGGAAAAAGTTCGCTTGGGAAATGCCAAGACGCCAACAGTACTTCGGGATTGCTGTGCGATTCAGGGAGCCGCCACAGTATGAAGGAGAGAAGAGAAAACAGATGCAGTTGTGTGATGAAAAGCAGAATAAATACTTGGAAGTCGATCTGGGAATTGATGATTCGGAGATTTGTAGAAGTGTTGGAATGAGAAGATGGTGCATTGCAGGTTCTGACAGTTAAACCAAGAAGTGTGGTGTGAACACACGACAGCCACATACATACCTTAAGAGCGCAGAACCAGTCTGTCAGAACGATTCGGATCAATAGTGTTTATTTTGGACAGCAGGATTCAAGCACAGATTCAGCAGGGAAAGGAGTCTCAAGAGCGATGGTCTGCTTTGACGAAAGGGCTGTTGTGTCGCGAATGTCTGACAGGGATAATAGGTAGGAAGTACGTAGATAGTTCAGCAACAGTAGAGGCCAAAGTAAGCGCAGGAGTCAGTTTGCAAGGTACGCTTGATCTGAAGAAATCATGAAATGTAAATGAACATTCGCAGATTCGAAGATATTAAGTATTGAGAAAGCTGATTGTGGTGCTTTTCAAGAAGCTGCACATGGAAGCTGGCATCCAGTGTGGTAGTAGGAGATTTTACTATGAGGTGTCCGATGTAAAAAAAAAAAAAGAAAGGAGAAGGGATGGGAGAAGAAAGGGTAGAGGAAATGAGAAGCTAGCAGCACTGGACACCATGCATCAGTCAATGAATGAGTCCAAAACTACTCGAAAACTTGGGGAGGGAAATGTAGCAGATGATGGATGTGTAGTAGTGAATGAGTCCAAGAAGAGTCTGTAGAGCCCGAAAAAGGTGTTGTTATCTCAAAGTAAAGCAGGTAGGTATTTTGGCTATGTACCTTGCTTTACCATACAGAAAGACCCACTTTATCCACAAAAGTGTGACTTTGGGCCATCCGGAAGAGAATGGCCAGGCGCTTTGGTAGATCTAATAGCCAATAATAAGCATCTAATTTGGTATACTTTCAGTCGTCGATTTTTGTATTACCTTACCATACATCGGTACCTTACCTTGCTAGATCCCCAGAGGTACCTAGTACTACCTGGGAGTTAGTAGTCACCTACGTACCTCTCTGCCTGTTGAAGGGACTCTGCGACTTATGCTTCGATAGCATTGAGATCTAGATAACTTGAGCAGGTAGTACAGTCTCTATGTTCACTCTTGGTACCAGGTTTGTTGTTCAAACAATTGATATTGTCTCAATATTCTCTCAGGTCCCTTTCATCACTGGGTCGAATCTACCTAAAGGCATAGGGTCGGTATTTTTATCCGTACTGAACTGTACCTAATGCCTGTTCCTTGACATCATTCGCCTCTGGCCTTGATAATAACGTTTCTAAACGAGGAACATCCCAAGAGAAGACAGGATAAGGGCTAAGAGACTATTTTCATATTGGCGGGGGAAAGCGCGGATCTATGTAGATATACCACAATTGTTGTCCGTGTTCCCGATGTCGGTTATACTGAGGTCCAAGCATCCAGTCTGTTGTTCTAAGACAATGAATAATTCTGCGCGATGACTACAGTCCAGTCGTCAATCTATATTGAATTGTCCTATTTGAAGTCTGAAAAATCCTTTAGAGAAACAATGGCGAGCATGTTTTGTGGTAGTAAAGCTCCCATTGTTCGAAGAGGTAGCTCATCGAGGGTTAGTTTCAGACAAACACTGCGCGATCATTGTATAGCATCTACTTTCAGCTTATTGCTCTAAGACCTTGCACTGAGCAGCAAGTTTTTTGTAGCATCAGCATTCTTGATACCAAGCTCGGTATAAGTTTCAGCGGCCTGAGCTGTATAGGATTTGTAGTAGGCGTGAGAATGATGATGCATACTCTAATCAGCTGTCAAATTACGTGTTCCTTCCAAATGAATATGTCCTCGCCTGCTATTTCGAGACAATAAGGTTGTCGGAGCCCAAAGAGCATGATGAAATGTTCAGGTGTGTCGCATACCGCAAGTGCAAGGGAATGAGCGATGTTTTTAGAGCACTTGAGTGGGTGGAAAAAGCATATTTGACACTTAAGGATTCTTCTCCCCAACATTCAAGGCAACAAGAAACCGGCTGACACAATTGTACGCTGCCGAAGTTGTCGTTATCTCGACGATTTCCCTTTCATTGAAAAATCCCTTCAGCTCCTGGAACACTCCCTCGGGAACAGTGACTGTCTTTGTCATGGCGTCTGTGTACTTCAGAACTGCTCCTTCAGCCGGACTCAGGACCTTCTCTTCAACTTTCAGCGAAATATCTGCCTGGATGTCACGAACGACACGTATTCCCTCGTCACTAAATCCACCTTCTTCCAACAAAGGTGCGTGGTGTTCCCATTCAAACCAGGCTCCATTTAGAACAGCCACACGGCAGATGATGAGTTCCTTGATAATGGTGGACAAGGTAGTTTTTGTTCGGATTGCCCCAATGAATGAGTTCCATCCATCTGCCACAGGATACGAGTGCAGAAGCGCACGATCAAGTGGTAAGAGTCCCCCAGGGGCACGTCTAGCTTTGACACGAGCGAGGATTTCCGCCTCTTCAGGAGTGCTAGTGGGAGGAGGGTCAGAGACGTATGGAAGACGCATGGTGAGATCGTCGACTTCAAGAACGTGGCCAGACTTCAATAAGACTCAGCTCGTACAGCAGGTGGCTTCAATCCACCTTCGAAAGTCTATGTTGTACTCAGTGAGTCATCATACCATGAATCTGATGCATCATGCGGGACACCTACCTCAAAGATGAAATGGAAAGCTATGAACGCAATTGAGTTCGCGCGACCTTGAACTTCCAAGGCCTGAACCTTCTTTTTCTATATAAGTTCAATGGTTCAGCGAGTTCGCACAGCCTGGATATGGGGAACCACGCTATTTATGTATCGAATGACCCACAGATCAATTCTTCGGAAAGGCCCCGCCGCGGGGAACGATGCGATTGTATCATTGTAGTATGTACCCTTGGACCCCAAGCCGCGGATTATCGAAGAGCAATCAAATGTCGTTAAGTAGCCCTCCGTGCATTTTCAATAATCCCATAGTTGAGCTGGAGCGTCTGACTCAGAGCGCTGTTGTCTATAGTCTCTAGCTGCCACATCGGATATACTATTTTGATCACTTCAGGTAGGTTATTGACTCATCCCGCCGCTGATTTTTGCTCTTGCCGAGAGCTTTGACATGAAACCTGGACAAATAGCTCAGCGTTTCCGAAGGATTTCTTTGAGACTTTCAAGTCAGATTGTCTGCTCCCTGGACCTTCTAACTCACATGTCCCATTCCCAATGGTGCTGGCTGACTATCGCAAGACATTGCGGAATGGATCCGCGCCTTTCCGTATGAACTTATAGAGGCTTATCAGCCAATATTTATTGACCTAGTAAAACAAAGGTAAAGAGAGGCGTTTAGGTGGCACGAGACAGGCTGTTGAAGGTGTGGCTAATCCAATAGTTCAGTTGAGACGCGAATGTAAAGACTTGAGGGGTGGTAAACACGTGTTTAGTAAACAGTATTGCTCAGAAAGTAATTTTCTTGGTGGCCTAATGGACTTCAAACAGTGGCTCAATCATCGCTCAACCATTATTCCAGTAGTCTCAAACCAAAAGGTTGCAGTTGACAAAAGAAGGAGGCCTCCAAATTTCATAGTTCGTAGATTGTTAGACAACACGCTAACGCTCCTTGGCGCAGGTCATCAGGTTCCCCACCGCCAGAACATTAATGCCCCCCATAAGCTCTGACCAACCTTCTCCTGATAACTATCTCGGCATTCTCAGGTTCCAGATACACACACCACAAGGACAATGCCTCCAAAAGGCACGAAACCTACGAGCGATGAGCTCCTCGCTCAATTCGACGACCTCGGCATCGACTCAACGACGGAGAAGCAGCCATCGAAGCCGACAGCTGCATCCACCACCGCACAGTCGGAACAAGATATCCTGGCCGAACTGGACAATCTAGCTTCGCAGCGCCCAAGCAGTGGGCCCGGCACTCCACGACTTTCAACGAACGAGCCTAGACCAGCCACCAAGTCACCCAAGCCAGCAGCAGTAGCTACACCTCGGTCTAGCGAAGACAAACCAGCTTCTCGTAAGTCTGGGGAGAGTGTTCGGTCGGCCCGTGCTGGAAACAAATCAACAACTACACAACCGTCAGAGACCGAGAAGCCAAATGCGCAAGAGGCGCCTGCCAGCGGAGGTGGAGGATGGTGGGGAGGGTTTTTTGCCACGGCCACTGCTGCTATGAAGCAAGCTGAGGCTGCAGTCAAAGAGATTCAGCAGAATGAGGAGGCCCAGAAGTGGGCGCAGCAAGTGCGAGGGAATGTTGGAGCTCTCAGAGATCTAGGTGTGTGGTCAATATTATTTTTCTTCATTTGATTCGTGCTAATCATACTTTCTAGGTGGTGAGCTCAAGAACAAGGCCCTCCCTACATTTACATCTCTGCTTCACACCATTGCGCCTCCAATTTCCTCTCATGAGCGCCTCCAAATACATATCACTCACGATATCTCTGGATATCCCGCTATCGACCCTATCGTTTACTCCGTTTTTTCGCGCGTAATGGCACAGGTCGAAGGCGGAGACCTCCTTGTCATCCAACGCGGTCAAGAATCTGCCCCAAAACGCGGACTTGATCTTGGAACTTCATTCTCCTCTGCAGGCTGGCAAGATGGCCCTTGGTGGCGCACTGTCACACCTGGAACTCCTCGCAGTATCTCGGCCGTCCGAGGCACCGTGGAGGCCACCAAGCTTGCTCGGGCGAGCGCAGAATCATATGCCACCGACTATTTCGCCTCAAGGGGCGGAGTTGAAGAAGCTGCGAAACAAGCAACTCAAGTCCTGAGTGAATCCAACCCAGTCCGAAGCAGCGACATTTTCCTGGCTATCCAAGCCATCAGTCAAACTTCATCAACGGAACTTTTCCAGGCTGGCCCGGCGACGGAGATGGCGACCCCTCCTGGCGTGGTTGACGTTCCCGAGGCGACAGAAGACGAGATCGCGTTCGCCCTTTATCTCCATGACCCCATCCATGGCATTGCCTTCCACACTATTTCCCAGACAATTCCCCAAAAATGGATCGATTGGCTCGATGCCGAGGCTCCAGCTGCCGCAGACCTCAACGCGGCGGACGCTAACGTACCGCGCACGACCGTTCCTGGGGATATTGCTGAGATTGTTGCCAGCGGGGCAGTTGATCCCCGCGAATGGGTGGCGGAATGGCTGGAAGAATCTCTGGCTTTAGCCATCGGAGTAGTTGCACAGCGTTATGTGGCTCGAAGAATGGGCGTCGGTGAGGGGGGTCCCGGTAAGGGCAAGATGCGTGCTGAACAGGCGTCGGTCGTGGACAGTGGAGCAGGAGAAGCTGCAAGAGCGCTCTAGGTTGACTGTCAGCTGTTTCTATTCATTCTAATCATATGCCGCTTCACAGTTCATGTGTGATTTAATATGTTCATACCATTTTCCGCTATACCAGGTCCTCGCAATTTAACCTGCTTGATGATTCATGAGCATCGCTACTCTGCAGCACTCTCCCCGGCGCATGAATTGGAGACATATTCATCCAGTGTAGCTGTTTGTTCAAGCTTCCATTCTGGCCTGGTTCAAGTTGGCCATGAACCTGAAGCTTTCTATACATTGTGCCTATCAGTCTCAATCACATATTTTCCTGAGTGAGCCAGCGATAACAGATCATCACACCTCGAGATATCCATGCTTTGAGTTCACTGGAGCCGAGAGCTCACAGTCAACACACCCAATTTGTTCTCGCTAAGTATCCATGAGAAGACGATGGGTGGTTATACCGGTACTCATACTCGACGAACCAGGGTTCATAGCATAACAATCTCCGAAAAGTATCATTATCCAGTGGTCCGTATAAGTACCCATCGGCTGGACCCTCTCAACCGCGTAACCAGTCACTCCAACCAGGTTTGATACGCAACCGGAGCCGTAATACCCCGGTGCCACCTCGCATAAGGTATTTCGAAGGTCTTATGGGGGGCAGTAGGAAAAATCGAGGACTGTAGCAACATAAGAGCAGCGAGTTAGCATCAAGCTTCGTCAAGCGATATTTCATCGAGGGGGTTACTCATAAAATTCAGTGCTTAAAGCAGAAAACGAAGATATTGATTTCTCCTATCAACATCATTCAATGTATGACAGTCATCTAAACAGAATTTCTTCGGGGTATCTGCGATTAGCCCTAGCCGGTGAACTGTGTTCCTGAATCGGCAGTAAGTATACGAACTTTAAGAGAGGGCTGGTACTATCTCAACTTGGCTTGTGTGTCTATGTCCTCATCTAGTTGCACCGAAGCGCGGTTCATTTGATCCTCAGGCGTCAATGTGGATGTTGCCTGTTGTTTTCTGTGCACTTATGCGGCCCTCTGAAAGTCTCATGTAGCGGATGACAATATAAGCTACCATATGCGTTGGAACCTGATACAGTGTACATCTAGTAGCTATTATGTAGCTCAAAGTCTGTATCCCATAGAGGAAGTTGTTCTAGGAAGGAAGGAATGGCATCATATCTTGAGTGCCTGAGGCAGGATACTTGGGATCTGATGAGCGCTTTATTCCTTGATTTTTCTTTCCTTTTAATATTTTTATTTTTTGAAGGCTACCAGCCTTTTCTGAGCGAGAGAATTTCGGAAGAGAAAGAAAAGAAAGAGGCAGGAACCTGTTGTGTTCTATTCACAGGCATACATCTGACGTGGGTACGACGAGTCGATATAGCGCTGGAATCTTCCACTTCGACCAGCCACCACTTCGGACAGAAACACATTGCTGCTGTAGAGTTTGTAGAGTAACTGGCAATTCCACTATGGACGAGAATAGAATCAGAGAGTGTTGTTGAGTTGTTGCTAGACAGGGGATGATTCTTCGACTGGGATATCACTGCATATCCAGACCTTCCCGAAACGTCGAGACTGCTATAGACGCAAAAATTTGCCTGTAGAATCAGTTAGAAAGTACTCATTTTCTGTTTGTATTCACTATAAACCACAAATTGCCGCTACTCTGAGTCACTGCGCCAGAGAAGCAGGGATTTCTGATTGGAGTGAACGGATTTTTCCAGTCTGTACGCATCATGGTGAATGAATTCAGTGAATACCTTCCAGATCGTAAGCGAGCCAGCCACTCCACCTCGCACTATATAAGCCCCCTCTCCCCCCCTTCTCTCTCCTCCTCCTCTTCTTCTTCTTTTCTCTCCCACCGGACGCCAGTCTATTACAAGTCCACCTCTGCTGAGTTTGTCCTAGTTGCGACCATCGGCCTTTCCTTCTTGAATGTGTTGCTATGAAGACTTGTTGTTTCCCGCAGTCACTGCAGCGTCAGCTGTAAACTGCAGCCGCTGGAGCCGTCCACCGGTGGGACAAAGTCATACGGCACTGCTCGAAGAAAAGGGAAAGTTCTTCCCTCGAGACTGTGTGACTATGGAGGCTTGTGCTATCCCGGCAGTCACAGCAGGGCCCAGCTGTACTGCAGCCAACGGAGACGTCCATTGGTGGGACACAGCCATACGGCACTGCTCGAGGAGATATCTGGGTACAGGCAAGCATCTTCTCCCACTCATGTCTTCGTTCTCATTCTTCTTTCTGACCTTGCTAACATCGACAGTCACTCGGGCAATCCGACTAAGACTTTCCCATTCCCGATGTCTCGTCTTCTTTGACTTGCCGGTGAGTCCTTCCTTTCGTTTGTTCAAGTTGCTCTTGCTATGACCATCGACGGCTGACTTGTTCTCTCTCATGTTCAGGACAGAGTGTGGCCCCTCGACTAACGGGGGTAGGCTACTGCCTATAACCTAACGTACTCATCAACACAGCAAGCACAGCACAGCAAACCGTCGTTCGATTCCGCCGAGTTACGACTACTTAACTGAGCAGCTGAGGGGTTCACTGGGGGTCGCACTTACAACCTGTGGGAACTGAGGGGTCTTCAAAATCCTACCTGGCCAGTAGGTGCCTGTTCATCTGGGTCGCTCGTCGAACCGATGGCAGGCCTCCAGCGACGAGCTCGCACCTCACCGTGGTGCTGGAGTCTAGTAGCCATTCTGGCGAAGCTAAGACGAGCTCACTTTGTATTTACTTCTTTGCTTTTAGTTAGCTTTTGTATTTAGTAGTGGGTAGTTAGCAATGGAAACATGTTCTTACTTCTTGCGGATATTTATACAGAGTAACGTTTGACTTGTGCAACATAGCCTGCGTAGATCGAGTGTTTGTTGATGTACGGCTTTCGTAGACTAGCACGAGCATTTGATATGTCATCCTCCCGCCTCATGTCGAATATAGCGAGTCGAAGCAACTAAGCAAGAAGTAAGGTAGGTTAACCACCCGGTTTCTTTGATGTCGAGTTCTAGTGAAGGATCAACGTCTACTGGTTGTCGAGCACGATTCAGCAAACTCAAGTGTTCCTAACGCAAAAAGAGAAAAACCTTTGCGGGTATCTATCTATCTCATCATCTAACTTTTCATGCTCATGAGTCAATCAATCATCAAGTTCCAAGGGTCCATCAAGACCAGAAACATGCGAGAAGTTTGCGGTAAGCGGAGTAACACTGTATTCGACAGTCAGCTTCTTGCAAACGGGGCGTACTGCTAAATGGATGGAAAGATCGAGGATGCTAACCTAGTGCTTCCATTCAGAACCGTATGCGCATCAGTTCCCTCCTCGCTTGCCTGCAGAGCTTTCTTCATCTCGGACAATTCCGCCGACCAGGCGAAATTGCGTTTCTTCAGGTGCGAGCCGCCGAACCCATTTACAGCTTTTGTGGCTGAGCCGTTACACAGTTTCGCGGCCTTTTCGTCTGAGTGGTTCGAGTTTCCGTTCGTCAATGCCGGCGTGGAGTGGCCGTTCGCCTGGGACACTTCGGCGTACAGACACCCCTTCGACCAGTAGTAGGGTAGAGTGCGAGTGTAGCGGACCGGTCTGGTTTCCACGTCCGCCCGCATTGGCACGTTCAGGTTGTAAAGCTCGACACGCTCGTCCCAGTTCTGGGACAGGTGGTTGACGACGCGGACGGCGAGTCTGGCCGCAGCGCGGATGACCTCGATCGGCTGCTCGTCCTTACTGCCGAAGGAGATGGCGATTCCGCGCTTCCCGCAGATAGCGGCTTCGAGGGCTCCGCCGACGGTCCCCGAGGAGAGGTTGTAGATCGTTGAGGCGTTGCGGCCGTGGTTGGGGCCCGAGATCACAAGGTCGACGGGGCCTCGATCGGCGAAGAGGTTGAACAGGCCTAGTTGGGTACAGCTGGCGGGTGTGCCGTTGGCGATGACGACCCATTCGCGATTCGACTCGTTCTCGTCGGGGAACTCGTAGGCGTCATCCCATGTTCCGTCGTCTCGGAAGGCGTCTGGGGGCACGTATGTTGCTTCTAGGGCGGCTTCGATGATGTGTGCTTTGCCTATCCAGGATCGAGATCTCGCTGGGATTGCGACGGAGACTTCATGGCCGGCAGCCTGGAGGGCATCGACGAATGGGCGGATGTATGGGGAGAGGCGCCGTGAGGGCGGACCGTCGTCATTGACAACCTGGGATAAAAATCACATGAGTATTTCTTTTCTTTTGGTGTATCGTCAATCTCCATGCGCCAATGGGTATTGAGCGCAAGGTGTTAAAGAGAAGAGTAAGGTAACTTACCAATATATGCATGCCGACTGCCAATAGTACCTTGATATCTCCTTGGCGCTGAAAGATCCTACGGAGCAGTGCCCTTGATCTGGTTTGGTCAAGCGGCGTCCTTTGGCCGAGATGTGATGCGGAGAAGGGTAGAACGACCCCCCACGGGCAGATATGATGACTATTTTTTTCTACGGCGCCCTCAATTGATACTGGAGGAGATAGTATTTATAAGAGTCATGCGCTGGGTAATGATTGAGCCCTGGAGAGCCTTCTCAACCTACCCCGACAACCGAAAACATACCGGGGAACTTCCAATCTGGCTACGGTGAAGCTGTTTTGCGCTGCGGGGGGCCGGAAGTTGTTCGATGAAGGGGACTTCATAGTCAGCAGTCATTTTCGTATCGAAAGAATGTCATAGCATGTACAATACTTTAGTATCATTAGTTCCTAATCTGACACCAAAGGTGGCAAAAAGGTAACTTATTGTATGGAACATGACATGACAAAACTTCAGGGCAACCAAAAAGAGGCTGCGGTGAAGACGGACAAGATGCAGCACAGAAGAAATTGGTTATCCTCGGGTAGTCCACTAGATACGTATTAGTCAAAGGAAAGAAAGGGTCAGCTGCTCATGTTCAAAACTCGAAGTGATGTCTTGTCAGAGTCGATTATGAAGTTATCAGTGATGAAGGAGTGATAGAGGCAAGGACGGTCAAATTGTATGCAGATTTATAAGAGTCCTAGTGCACACTAACT